ATCAGAAGCCCGAACCACACGTTAGGCGACGTCCATCCGAGTCCTGCACGAGCCAGCGTCATGGTGACGTTTAGGGACATATATTACACGTTTTGCTGGCTTTGTGATTTTTTGCAAAAGAATCACTGCCCCACTCGCCCTGAATCATTACGGCTGTCGTCAAGTCCGATGAGAGCTGTTTGTGAGTCGTCACTCGCTGCACTTCCGCTTCTACTAAGGGGTGACCGGAGGGTGCTTCCAGCGCCACCAGAAGGAGCGATCTCTTTAGGAGCATTTTTAGCAGCTTGGGAGATGGCTTCCATCTCCAGGAAGTTCGGATTGACTGATCGCATAGGTTTAGGCATGTCTTTAAAATATGGAGTTTTGCGGCGTTTATATAGCCCCTTAGTAGTCCTGTTAGGCGATTCTGAAGATAGCAGTAGTTCCTTGGCGACCACACTAAAACACAGCAGATTTAAAACGCGGCAAGGAACAAACATTGCATACACAAGAAATCGGACATACCTTTCTAGAAGCTGATGGTGTATTTCGAGGAAGCGAAAGTAGTCTGACTCGGTATACGGCTGAAATTGCAAGCAAAAATATAAGGTTTGCTTACGAGCTTCGAGTGAACAAGAGATCTGTTCGCTTACACTAGGATCGTAGCGGGCCCGATTATATAAAATGCAATATGCTTCGATGACATCTCGATCTGGTTTCGGGTTCATGGTAAGGGAACTAGCACTCATTAAAAAGTCCTGTATGCTCCTGACGGGAGGTGCCTCTAGTTGAGGGTAAGACAGCAATATACTCTCCTCTAAAATATAAATACTTATGCATATCAGAAATACTTAAGTCAACAAAGTGATCTACTGTTTTTGCGCGAAACTGGAATCCCAGGTTCCCTAAAGCGGGAACAAGTAACATAAAATTTAGTACTTTCCGTAAGGTCGATCCCGTGACAAGTTTCTGAAGAGCCAAAAACCCTAGGCTCTGCGCGAATTTTTACAGTTGCATTGACTTTGGCATTTACTAGCTCTTTCCAGAACTACCGGGGCAAGAGCAGAAAATTACGGGAGTACTTTTGGAGTTCCCCTTCCCACCGGCGTATACACAATCCTCCCAATGCGGCTTTTTCTCCTTGCTATGCTGCGCTTTATCACAATAAATATACTTAAAATAAAAATTGCACCAATAGCTACTAAAACTAAAAAAAGTGACAGAGCGATTGTCTGCCCGGACATAACGCACACAAATTCTGTTAACCCACCACTTTTTAGTCAATTAAAACGACAATTTAAAAATGCAAATACATGGCTAACTACTTTTACAACTTAAATTGCATTTTAATAGAAAGCAAAATCTTACTAAAACCATTCACAGCACAGTATTAAATATTCACAGGAAAACGGGTGATGCGGAAATGTCTAATCAGTTGAAAGTTGAAATTCTTCTTCAATTACTTGCGAGTAATGAAGACAGCAACCTTGTCTTTCGTTATGATGAGTTTTAATCAAAGTTTTGCAAGCCATTTTTAATTCTTTTGAAATGTAATACCATGCTACTAATATAAACTTCACATTTTTGATAATTAGAATTGGATCCCTTCCATATATAAATTAATGAAAATAAGTCCTGTAAAATTTTTAAAAAAATTCATAAAAATCAAAAATATTTAAAAGACAAAGTCATCTTCTACGGATTTTTAGGCAGATAATTCATATATGCATACCTCAGCTATTCTATATTAGTCAAATTTTATGTTACGTTCATTTTAAGAGCATCAATGATATTCGAAATATGGCTATAGGTATAAAATGAAAAAAAACAGAAGTCATTTGCGTTTAGTAAAACTAAACATGATAAACTCAAGATAATGGAATGGTTAGATGTTAATATGAAAATTATTATACTCTCACGTGGCCTTAGAACGTACTCTCAAAGAAGTATCATCATCAAAGAGTTGTCAAACAAAATGTCTGCCAAAATATTTGGCCTTTCTTTTGTCCACAAGCATTTGTAAAAATGAAAGCACAGTCACATGCAGCTACACTAATGTGACTGCGAACTACTCTAACTGTGATGCGACAATGCTGAGGTCAGCAATTGCAGAAACACTCTCAGGTAGGTAGACCTAGTATGTGGAGTGTGCAGAAATAACGTGTCAGATAATTACAACTTCAAAGGTCTCAGGGTGATAACTTTGAATAACTGGGTGCATAAATTGTGACTTATGCATGCAAGCCATGTGATTTAACATAAAAATATATAAGTTATTAATTTGATTTGGCGCGGTCTTGCAATGGAACAATTCCTCTGTATTTTAGAAGTCCTGTTTCGCCAGTGGTTGTTTATAAAGCGCATTGAACAAGTCATTTGCACAACGCTTGTGTCAAATACAGATGAGAGGTAACAACCACTCTCCACTGGTTGATTGTTAGCAAAGATTCAATGCACCCTTTTTCCACAAACGCTGCCTTCCATGCTTCCGGTACACGCGCTTGCTTTTGCATTTGACACCCAGGACAAAAATCGGTGCCAAGCACGTCAAGGACAATTTTACGATCAGGGAGCACGGAAGGGAATGTAATTTGCAACAATCAAGCTTCTGACTATCACACCGCAGTCATGCAGTACTGCATTTCTTCGTCTTCCGTTGAAATTCGTACAGTCAATTCTCAGTTGCCTTAGTTGAGTCGCTTAACATGCTTTAGCCGAGTGGCCTCAGCATGAAAGTCAGTGATTCAACGCCTCGTCACCCATGCACTGGTTTGTTTGCTCACTGAGAAATGCGAGTCACGTTCCCGGAGGTTCCCGGACGGCAATTTCGTTGAAGCGTCGCCCCTGTTGCGTAATTCACTTGCGTCATTTGGTGTATTTCTAAAGATCGGCTTCACGCGATCCTATACAGACTGACGGACAGTTTGTGTAATAGGCAAAGCCTTATAAATATTTTGGCTTTGGGTGAAGTGTGCAATTCAAGTAAGTCAAATTAATTCATTGGAAGAATTGAGTGCCATTGGCAAATCACCTGTTTAAAATAGGCATACGCTGATAAACCTTGGTAATCTCTTCACAAATTTTTAGTCACTGTTTTGTTATTTCTTGAAGGACATTTGTGTATTGAACGAAGTAAAAAGATGCAGTTTTACATTCGTGTTTTTGGTTTAATTAATGAAGTTTTACAAAGTGGCCAATTTCATGAACAGCTATAAACCTGGCTATAAAAGTTAAACCATAGCCTTGGTGTAAGCTCTTTAATGAAAAAGTAGGATTTGTAAGCGGAAAGTCAAGCGTTATGCTGTGTTTTGTTTGCCAATAAATGAGTGTTACCTTCGTAATCGTAGTCGTAGTGGAATGCGCTTTCGTTAAATGCTTATCCCTTTACATTTCTCTACACAGGAGGCCTTGTCATTGCATTCCTGATAGAACGCACATCTGCCACACATTCGGCATTGCTTTCTGAAAACATTTTAAAAGCTCAAGTTATTCATTGCAGAAAAGCCGGGATTTGCCTATATCCCTATAAAAGCCATCAGACAAATTTTTATAACGAATACCTTTATGAAACTGAAACTGACGCAGTTTAGAATCGTTGCTTACCAGTTTGACGTTAAAGTTAGTATAAATTTACTATGTTTTCTTGATGATATTAGTTTTTTTGAGTGTAAATGCCAGAAATGTGTCTCTTGTAGAATGAGGACAAGTAGAGTCCACTACTACTAATTTTAAATGGAGTTATTGTAGGTTGTAGAGGTTTTTAAATGTGGCTGGCATATGTAACCGAGAAGAGTAAAGACAAATCATTATCAATTCTTCAAGTGTCCATGAATAGACTTGGATTTTTGTGCCTTTAATCCGAGTCATTTTCGAAAAAAAGAGGTGAAATAAGAGTAGGCGGCAAATCTGCAATTGTCTTTGGTTTACAGTTCCAATTAGCGTTTTGCAAGCCAAATAATTGCATCAGGAAGTCCCAATTTGTGCTGAGCAGTTGCAATAGCGTGGTTATGTTGAACAGGGAAAAGAGGTTTAAAATGACCACTTTAGTAACCACTACACACAAAAGGAACTGAACTTAGATGTCACCCCACTCTCTTTGGTGCAATGCGTCCCTCAAACATATTGAAGTCACTCGACAACATCTCTACACTGCCTGGTGGAGAGATTTTGTGACTTAATTAATACTACACTGATAATTTATGAACCACAAATGTCTGCGCAGTACATTTGATTTCCGTCTACGTATTCATATCTCTGGAGTTAGTGGAGAGTTTGAATGATCTATCAGATCGAAACAGCGTTTTGTTTGGCACTTTAGCTAAATTTATACCTTCTGATTTCACCAACAGAAATTACAAGTCCGTCATGTATCACTCTCGTGGCAGCTTTGGTGTTATATCAAGCTTCATTGCTCGTTAAAAGTTGAAAATGTCTATTCCTAAACAAGAAATCACACGTGCATTTTTTTCTCGAAGCACTACAAGCAACATCTCGTTTAAGTTTATTTAAAAAGATTTCAAGCACAACCTCAGAGTCTAGTCGCAGAATCATATTTGGTATGTTAAATGTGACAATGAGCCTAATGATCACCGTAGCTGATAAGGCAGTTTGGCACTTTCACAAATCCTGCATTCAAATGCCACTTTCAGCATTGTAACTGAATATATACTAGTCTCAAGGAAGTATGAGCTTAATTTTGTTGAATAAACTGCAATTAAAAATAAAAGCTTTAGTAAAGTCAGAAGGAATTCTAGGGATTTGAAATTTACATTGCAAAATGACTTGTGCCTATGAATAATGTAAATGTGTTAGGGATTTACGTTGATTTAGATTCATCTGGGTAGGTGAAGAAAAGGATCAATTTGACAATAATCGCAAGTTGAATTATAAAAGAGATAAAAGGTAGGAAAAGGTAGGGAAGTTAGTTGTTAATCAGAATCAAAGCAATGTGATAATTTGGTTTAATAGAGGCTGACTTGTGCCCTTGATTTCTCCAACCAATTAGTTCGGACTGCAAATGTTTGCATCAGCCTCATATGTAAGTTCTTTACAATGTCACGGATCCATTTGACCTTGAATTCTTTCATCCTTTCTAATGATTAATTTACTAAAAAAATTAATTCGTTTAGGTTTTCTTTTTCAGTACTGCTTGCTCTTGGATACGTAGGGGTTGTCTTGGATGGTGAATAACAAGGGGAACCTTTAAAAAGCCTTAATGGTGCCATCCATTTCATGTTTGGTTGGTTTTCATTTCTTTGCTGACATCAGGTAATTTTTAATTTCTTACTGTTGTTTCGGAAACTGGAACATGGATGATAGGAACCTCAGGGGTCTTCTCTGGACAATCTTGAGTCAATAATGAACTCGAAGTATTACTTTTGTTTCTGCATTCATCGACTGCGAGGAAAAGACAACGACAATTTTGAAATAAAAGCAAATTCTTAATAATGCAATTTTAAGAACTATGAGACATAGTGAAAAATGCTCCTGAGTCAGCGTAGTATCAAAAGGAATGCATTTACCAACTTAATGCGGTAATGTAACCGATTTATGATCTGTATGTGCACTGTCATTTATTATGCGTAGCATTCCACCTACTGTTGCTGGACTTGACAACAGTAACCCACCTAGACATTCGTCTTAAGCACACTAAACAGATCCTACGCAAAGGTGACCGTTTACAGAGATTCCTGTTACCAATTAGGTGAAGTTTATGAGAGTCTTAAAACGAATTTTGGTAATCCCCGCCTCCTATCAAATCAAAGCGAAATCCAATTAAGTGTGCATTGGTTCGAATGGAACCAATAAACATCGATACAAGAGAATCACTGGTTTATTGAAGTTGATTTTCACACTACACCAATTAGTGTGTGTATGGTTCGTTTTTAATCTTTCGTTTGTATCTAGTTCGTCTTTGTATTTCGTAATTGATTAAACTAGAATTTTTTTGCTCTGCCTTGTTTCTTGGTTTATGTCGCCACCTAAGCTACTGTTCCACTTTCTAGAAATAGTAGAACTCAGTCTTTGTGATGGTAAAGCATTTATGTCGGGTGAAAGAAGCCTTAGAAGCCTTTTTTTGTGAGATTGGGCATAGACTTTACAGATACACAATTCTTCGGCCGAATTCTATGGCATTACCTGGCGCTGTCACAAAATTGACTTTGGATGCTGCACTCGAAGACGGGAGGCCAACATTTTTTCTTTGCAATCTTACGCTACTCGTGTTGTCCATGTTACAAAGTGGCTTAATATGCTGCTGGTCGCTTCAAAGCTGTAGATTTTTTGAAGACTATAACCAATGAAGCTGTTCATCTCCGTGAGAAATAGAATCGCATTTTTGGTGTTACGCACCCAAGTGTATATTGATATTTAGTAGAATTATACAAAACACGATGTTTTGACTATCGTTTTCTTTTTCCAATTCTGTGGTTTCTTAGTTTTGCCATCTCAGCGATCGCTATTTTCTTGTGGTAATTTAGATGAAAATGGCGTCTTCTGATCCTGATGGACAGCGGAAGGTTAGTCTGATGCCGGAGCTACATGCACTATTTGCCCCTCCGACCATTGAATCGTTAGGCAAAAAGGGTTTAGCTGGAATTGTAAGTTGTACTGTTTTGTGTCATTGTCATTCTAGCCATCTGTACGGCGAGCCAAAAGGCAGGCGGAAACAACAGTCAATGGAAACTCGGGCAGTGGTGCGCGTGGCTTGTACAAAGACGATCCTAGTTGGCGTAAGCCGCGAGCAAATTGTCACGACTATTGTGACAGTTGTAATTGCACCGAGGGCGATCGCCTTGTCTGTGATCGTTGCCCTGCAAGTTTTCATTTAGAATGTCTTGACCCACCGTTGGACGCACACGAGGCTCCTACTGGACTCTGGTACTGCCACCGGTGCACCATGCTTTCAAAGGTTTGTTTTGCTTAAATTCGTTTCATTTTTTCACTAAATCATCATTTTGATGTTTATGCAGCCAAATTATATGCTCTTTCTCCTAACTAGGAGTTTTTAAACATTCAAGTAATGTGCTCCATGTTTTCATTTCTCAGTTTTATGCGTATGGGGTATTCGATTCAATTTTGTTTCTTAATTTATTTTAGTGTGCTTGTTGGATGACACTGTAGGCATTTAGGCCCAGCTACTTAGGTAGTTAAATGCCCTTGACTACACTAATATATGGCAAAGTCGTTATGAAATGGTCAATTTGTTTTTTATCATTACTTTCATTGAAGCACCTTTGAATTTGAACCAAGGTGCCCTACTAATATGGCTGTCAATGGTTATTTTGTTCTGCGTTATTTGAGTAATTTTTGGTTATTTAAACGTCCTGGGGGTTGTGTTAAATAGCAATCGAAGAACCATTAAAGTAGACGCTTTTGTCTATTTTCCCCGCTAGCTGATGTTACAAATATAACGTCGTACGGTGTAGCAATTGTAATGTCTTTTTCTTTGCATCAGGATGAAGATGACGTTAGCTCTACCTCAAGTTGCCGCAGCACCGGTCTTGCGTCTAGTGAGGGCACCCAAGCCTCTTCAAGCAGACAGGCCTCAAAACGATCGGAAAAGCAGCAGTCACAATCAACTGCACAGTCGTCCAATGGCATTTCACTGCGCCGTGTCTTAAACACTCGTGCTTCACATGGTTGGATTCCAGACCACATGTCTCTAAATGACCTTGCTGGGTGGCTTACTACGGGCCGCCGTACGTCATCTGATCAAATAGATTTGAAGAAATCCCCCATTTCAGCTCTGTGGGATGTTATTCACTACTCGCGATTTCTTAATCCTAAGGAATTTGAACTTCCTAAGGACCTGGTTCCGGGCATCAAGATACCAGGTCAGTTGAAGCTTTGTGCAAAAAGTTTGGGAGTTAATTTCGCAGTAATCAGTTTGTAGTCGTTTTATAACTCATATTCCTAATCTTTTGTTGTGCAGCTAAAAGCCGCTTTAGAAAATTCGTTGCCACAGGTTTCGATGACGTTGAGTGGACTATTCGATTTGTCATAAGTCGGGCGGCAGCGCGTGTTTGTACTTATGATTCATGACTTGCTTTGAACTCTAACGTTTTTATCTTCGACCAAGTTGTACTAATGCCAGTGAAAGGGTATGTATGGCGAGTTGGGTCGGTCTTCTTGCCATACATGGAGGCTTCTTTAAATCACAATGCTGTTAAATTTATGCACATCTTTAGCCGTACACATTGTCATGGTAAAATTTATTAAAGCGTTCATTTTTAATCCTAAATCATTTTAGAAAATTGTGTGGGGAATTCCTTGTGACAAATCCATCCGCGAATACTGGCAAAGTATTTGTTCTCTGCCCAACGTTGTGTTAGTGCTCGATGACATATTTCGCAATTTCAGAGTCGTGAACTGGGCTTTTAATAATAACAGAGAATAATGTAATCCGGTTTTCATTTAAACCAATAATTTGTCCAGAGGTTAATCCAATAGCAACAAATTTTCTTCAGACCCAATGCATATCCAGTGAAACCTTAGGAAAATCTGTCTCGGGTTTAATTGCCGAGCATTTTCTGCCAAATGCTATCTTGGAATAATTATTATTGTTAGTAATTTATAAATGGTGAAATGAAGGCTTCTCTGAGCAGTCTGTAGTCGGGATGAGGTCCTCAAGTGTTGTCTTTAGGACTACTTGGAACCACTGGCGTGCTCGTTCGCCACCGAGTCGTGCTTTCACGACACGAAGCTTTTGCGTTTCAGCGTGTTGGTGCCTAGAACTCAGAAGACCTCGTATTCACCTCTGGCATTCAATGGAGAAAAGCCCAAATGGATTTTATGCCTCGTGTCGTTTTGTACATGGTCCATTGTTCGAATTTATTGGGCATTATTTTACTGTGAATGCACTAAGGCACTCAATCCTACATGTAAACCCTTCGCACATAAATCCACCTTCTTTTTAAGGCTCCTACAAGACCTTAGCCGAGCGAAAGGCGAAACCTATTATTGAATTAGAAAACGGACAAATTCCAAAGCCCGTTCGGCGATGCTACAATTGTGCCAGGTAACCTCTTCCTTGCAACCGTCATTGCACATTCCAATTCACTTTATTCCTAGCAGGGATAAAAAAGGGGGTAACATTAGAGTCACCTAAACGTCTGGTCTCGTGGGTTCCAGAGGAGAATCAAATCCTTGAGATGATCCAGTAACGCGCTCACATTAATTTGCTGCACTTGTATGTGCTACGTTTGTCGGTAAAGTTTTAATGAAATGAATTGTTGAGTGATGAGTGAAAGGTCTGTTTTTCGTAATCTCGTTGGTTTGAATTAATGATGACTTACATTATAGAATCCTATTTCCTAGCTGCTGCATCCGCATCGATTGCAAGCACCACAGCCATATATTTGATCCCCCTTTCTCTCTCCCACAGGACGTGTTTCCACGCCGCTCTTCTCCCGTGCGACTACTGTTCAGCTTGTTTCCATTTGGAGTGTCTAGATCCCCCACTGTCCCATTTCCCACCGCGTTCCGACCGATGGATGTGCCCGCTGCACGCGGAGCACACAGTTGACAAATACCTCGTTCGCTCAATCCGCCTGTCTGAACGCATTCGTGCGTGGAATCAATTGGCAGTGTTTTCACCAAGCCTCCCACTCAACCTCCGAAATACCGATCTCTCTGACGGGGCCTCCCATGATATCCAGTACAAACCAGAGGACGAAACCGCGGTGCTCTCTGCCCTCATGCAGTACATACAACGCGGACGCCTCGAAGCAGCTGCTGTTGATGAGGTTTTTGGGACCACCAAATCCAATCATCCCTCCCTTTCATCCCAGTCGGTCATGCGAGTTGTGGTAAGTGTGTTTGTATGTGTTTATTGCTAGTCCATTGGGTACAACATCGCTAAAGCGAAGTCATCGCCCAATGATTACCATTTGCTCACATTATAGGGGTAATGATTACTTATGACAACGGTAACTTATACTTTTACCCATAGCTTTCATTCTGGCCGCTACAACCGTTTCTGCTAGTATTTCGCGATAATCCAGAGAAGACTAATTGTACAGTAGTCTAAACACACAACAATAGTTTGTAAGATTGCGAAATGCTTTGTTTCAATGTGTTTGGAAATACCTGTATGAATTTTTCTGAAACGATATTGCATAGCGCTGGCCCCGATGTTTTTTCACACCTTTATCTCGTACCAATCGCATCTACATTTGCGTCTCTTGTTACGTTCCTATAATAACCGCTTCTCCAAAACCATATCCATCCAGTTCATCCTATAAAGTGACTTCTTTAGCCCACTATCTCTAGTGATAACGAATATCTAGGACCACGTGGCTGACTACCTGTCTCCTCGATTTTTGGGCCCATCCTGTTCCATAGGAGGAACATCCCTCAACACACCAGCGTTGACCAGTTTTCAGCCTAACGTTCGTGCCGTTTTAATGTTGTGGTTTTGGGTGCATTGTGTGAGTTTCGTGCCAGGTTTTGCTTAACTAACCCAACGTTGTGATAGCAGCTGCTCGTTTTACGCCCTCCCTAGTGAGCGATCTGCCCAGGTACCTTGAAAATTGATTTCTTAGGCCGCAAATCTCTAATCGGAAGAAAGTAGTGACAGCCTTGCCTATCAACTTTTTTTGGCGTTGAAACAGGTTCCCGATGCAGTGAAAGCCCTCTACAAGAATCCAGTGCGACGTCTCCCCAGACTGGAAGAGTGCGTGCGCGACCCCAACCCTCCCCCGCAAAACGGCATCGAGCGCGCTGCCGCCGAGCCGCACCAAGCCCCAAAGGACGACCAGAGCCTAGTAAGCGCATTTCCCTTCGCGCCATGCACGTGGTGCACCCTGTGGGCCACTTCTCGAATGTGCCGTTTAACATCGGGTGTGGAGGGTTTTTAAACCGACTGAGCTTCTTTCGATCCTCCTTGTCACCACTAAGCCTTGTACATTTTTGCCTCGTTCGTTAGGGACTTCTGAGATGTTTACTAGTAACGAGTATGTTTGTTTTGCACCTGATGAGCGCCGGCCACGTCACTCTGAGGCACAATGACTGCTAGTTTTGTCCAAAATATTCAACATTGTTCATAGGCAAGTGAATTGGCTGTGTCTAGCACTTGCAAAATGCCACTTAGTGTTTGTTCATATTTGCTTATTCCACTCTGAAATGCTGTAGGATGACCATCTGTGTTTTTTCAGTTTGTTCGAGGCCTTCTGCAATTTTACTTTTTCCCTCCTTCGACGACCACTGGTGAGACTGCAGCTGGTAATGTTGCAGTGGAGACTTCGTCTTCCGATAGGGCCTCATCTGATGAAGACTCACTCCCGATTATGCCGAATAGCTCACCTCCGGTGGAAAAGGTATCTGCCCTTGTCTCCAAGATTAAGGAGGTCCTCAGCGAAGTAGACAGCTTCTTCCCTAACAGCGATGGTCAGTTTTGCCTTTATTGCCAACTCTGTAAATATAAGGAACACTGACAGTAGGCCATTGTGATGCGTCAAACATTAAGGCCTGTGTGTTTATGCAAATCCGATTGTCCAACATATTATGAGGGGGGCGTGTTTAGTTGTTGCAATACATGTTTTTTTTCGCTTTCTACTTTCACCACTTGTGGTATGTCGTGTTTTAGCCTAGAAGCACTTCGATACGTAATTGAGGATTTTATTTCGTACCGGGATAAGCCTAATTACTTGTAATAGCTGCTTTGCCCTTTCATGTGATATCCACCCAGGGGTCATGCATTAACCCCTACTTATGTCCATTAGTAATACCCTTCAACTGTCTCAAATAAATCACTGCTCAACTGGAGTTACGAATTTGTCAAACGTAGCTCAGGAGGTGTGGGAGTGGCTTCGCATGTACACCGTCACATCAGTTCGATCGCATCTGAGCTTCATCTTTGGCCCCACACCGGCGATGTTGCGTGCATCATCACCGGTGTGGATTCTTTTGGTGCTCTACTCAGTCGGTAATATGTTATAATCTCAGGCAAAGTCTCGTTGATGCCTTTCTCAGTTAACTGATTGTCGAGACATCTGTTTAATTTTGTTTTGGTTTCTGTTGTAGACCTGCCAAAGGAGTTGGCGGAATGCGACTACCGTCTACTCTCGGCCCTCGTTCGCCACCACGTCGACTTGAGCCGGACGAACGGGTTCGGAGGCAGGTCCCCGAGCCCGCCTCCGCCGCAGCACCGCCTGCCCAGCCGCGCGGTCCTCATCCCCTGCGCCGGCACCGAGGGCCCCGTCGTCCCCATGCCCTACCGCCAGCTCGTCGTCGGCACAGGTGACTGTCGCGCGCGCCCGCGCACACACGCTTTCATATCCCCTCCAACTAGCAGTCCACTTGTAGTGATGGTCCGCAACTTGCTGCCACTGAAGGCACTCAGAGTAGGCGTGCATTAATGGCCTCTCGAATCGAGCAGGGCATTTGTCTGTGAGATGGTTTGCACTTATGCTAGCATCTCCTGGTCTTTATGTGTTCTTTTTCCTCGATTTCTGTAAGTATAAACAACTTTCAAGGCAACATTTAAACGTCTAACTCGTTAACTTAGCTAATTAGTGACAGAGCCTGGAAGACGTCTGGTGTAAATTGTTGCGGCTCAATTCGTCACCAAGGCGTCTGAGCAGACTGGCAAGAGCGAGGGCGACGCGGGCTCGCCCATTCATTGGACCGCTGAACCCGGGTGTGTGTGGAGTTTCGGAGGTTCGTGGGTTTTGAGGTCGAGGCCCTCTGTTACGCCGCCACACGCTGGGAGAATCAGGGGGTGGGGAGGGGGGAGGGGAGGGAGTGAGCGTCAGGACGGAGTTCAAGTGGCCCGGCAGAGGGTGTGGGTGGGTGAATGAACCCGTTCGTCAGTCGTGTTTGAACCGCACTGATGTTCGTGAATTAACAAGATTCACAACACGGTACCCTCCGGGCGTGCCACATTCATTAGAACTTCCGCCTTTTGTAGGACCGGACTGTCATCTTTGCCTAAGTAATTATCAGGCCCCAGATCGTGTGCGGTGCCCCAACATCTCTCCTCTACACGCCTCCATATTCTACGATGAGTCGAGCCGTCACTTCGAGTTGCTCAACTATAGCGAATTCGGAAGTCGCGTTGACTCAATCCCCTACAGAAACGACGTTGCTGAGAAACCGGCATACCAACTTGAAGTAGTTTATTTTTATATTTATAAACTTTGTACTAACTATTTATAAGTACGAATAAGTTCTCTTCTCTTCTAGCTTTCCGAACTGGTTCATCGTGTTCGTGGCCTCATTGGCAGTCCTGGTCTGGATGAAAAACCTGGTTGTAGTCAACCGAAACGGCCTCGAATGGCTGCAAGGAACCGTCATGTAGGCATTTATTTTTATTTAAATTGTCTCCATGATCGAGTAGGAATTGGTCGTCAAACACAATGTCGCACTTTGACCTTAGCTGAGTGCAAAAATGATGCGTTTTACAACTTACTCGATGGACACTCATCGCAATGGAAGGGGTATTGTGACTATTAGTTCACCGCTTAGTTATGGTTATCAGGGTCGGTTATAATACTTCGGGTTTTTCTATTTTTTTTTATATTCACGGATAACTAGACAAACCTCGTCAAGAATACCGTACAGTCGAACCTTTATCACTTAGCATACAATTAAGGCACCTTGTGAGATCGCTTGGAATCAACTTAGGTGCCGCGTAAACCAGGAACTTCACTAGTCTGGTAACTTTTTTGTATTGGTAGGAATCACCAAGGGCCTAATTGTGAGTCGTGTAGATCCGTATTAAGCGTTTTTTATACTTTTTACACAACATGTAACTACCAATTTACAGTTATAAATCCTAATTCACAAGGTTGTGTTGCTTTGGTTAAATTTGTAAGCGCACGAATATTTTAAATTTGTCCAGGTCTCCCTCCACCCTTTATCGCCATCATCGTCGTCGTCGTCATCGGGCGCCGACTGCCCGTGCACCAGTCAGGACGACGTGTCCGACGCCGGCTGGGAGGGCGCCGCGGTTCTGCACCACGGGTCGCTGCTCCAGTTCGGCTGCTACTCCTTCACCTTCAGCCTCGTCGACGCCGCCAACTCACCCCTGGACGAGACCCAGGAGAGTCGGTGAGGCGCAGTCGGCGTAGATTCCTCCTGTGCACCTCATTTCTGCACACGCTTCGGTGGAGAACTCATCCCAGTCTTAGTAACTGTCTGATGCGCCTTGAGCGTGTAAAGTTCACTCACTCATTCGTGTTTGTCCTTTTTTTCTGAAAAAAAACGAAACACCAAACAAGCCACCGAATGTCTTACCTTAGTAGTCCACCCCACACTACATGCTTCTCGTGATGTATTTATACAATTTACACAAATGTATCAACCAGGTCACTAAGAGGTTATTCAATTAAAAGTGATTACACAATCTGGGCGTCTTTAAATTACTTTATGCGGCATAAAAGACTGCGTCGTAGTTTGAACTGTGATTCTGCCTATCCACACTACATTCGAAGTTGCACGGTTATTTTGCGTCATTTCAGACTGTCGCATTAATGTTTCCAATATAGTGAACCGAAAATCATTCTGGTTCCTCCTTCTATTGTACTTCCAGTTTGTGATATGCTGCCAAAAAAATGATTTATTTTAATAATTAGTGATTTGCATAGTTATTCAGGTGACGAAAGACCTAACACAAGCCCTCGCCGTATTGCGGATAGTGCAGAGAATGCGTTCCGACTTTGCCTCCTTGTTTAGAAACCGTCTGATTTAAAGTATAGCGCTATGTGGTGAAGATACGCTAGATCATTGTGTGGGACGTAGATTAGTAATGCATTTGCATCTAAATCACTTTACTGGTTTCTGTGGGACTCTTTTTGCCACAGTAAGGCTGAAATTCCTGTATGCTTCGACACAGTCTCCCCATTGGTGTAGTCGCGGTTTCCCTTAACTACCAGGAACTTTTCCAGACGAAATGCAGTGTCTTACTGAGTCGTAGAAAGTCGTTTTAATTAAAGTAGTTCGTCATCGTTAGTGACACCTCGTTAATTCCAGATTTTCGACGCCATCTTCATTCATTGGGATAGCCTTCAAGACAGGTCTGAAAGGTCCATTTTTGAGAGCCTCGAAGCTGTTTTTAAAAGTTGGACACCAAGGCAGCGTGTGCCTTCCTACCGTCGAATTCCACGTACTCGCAACATTTCATTGTGTCTGGTTAGGTGCATAACCAATCCTGCTGTATTTTCTGCGATTTAGACATAAGTAGTAGAGGATTGGCATAATTGTTTACTCGCCCCTTGTTCGTGTTTACTAGCAGGGTCAAACGATTTTTTCAAGAACGCGAATCTGCCTTTTAGCGCGTTGGTCCACTCGAGATTGTGTTTTTTCTATAATTGTTTTATCGTATGAGAATATCGCTTACCTACATGCAGTTTACTAGCGTGACCTCTTAAATTGTGACAGCTTTCGTCTGTTGCAATACTCAAGAAATACTTTTGTTTATTTTCTCGACGCTATAAAATTTACTTAAGATGACTAACTTGGCATATCCTTTGAGTTCAAATGGGTTTATATAACCTACCATTTTTTGTTACTCTACTTTCAACTGTAACTCATATGTAGAAAAAAGTTTGTCATTTGCAGTACCAGAGTTTACACATAAATTTGCTTCTTATTTGCCGTAAATGATGTAATCCTACCGTTCATTTTTTTTCTAATTACTAAGGGCGTAACTCCGCTAGGCCAGTGGTGTGTTACAGTTTGTTTTACGCTTTCATTGTTGTATCTGATGTATTCAGACATGACTTGCTGAGTCCCTTGTTGCATTAAAATGCGTTTAAATGACCCAATCAATTCATGACTTAAAAGCGTTAACATCAAATGCGTTTCATTAGAGCTTAAGACTTCCAGTTTTTGGAGATGGTAGTGGTTGAAAGCAGCTCTCATTTTGCACACTTTACATAGAAATCGTTGAACTTGTAAATCCTGATCTTCCCTTTCAGTTCGAAACTACTGTACCATTGAATCTGGGCTCGAAGTCTAGCTTTAGCTATAGATCAACAGGTGAGTTATAATTCCGGTTTGGAATTTCGCTAAAGGAACGCTCTGGGCCTGATACAATCTTGGTCTTTGGGATCTTTCGCATTCTCAACTATTTTCGGCAATGAACCAGATTTGTGTAAAGCGCTATGGTATGAACATTAGCTAACGCAGGTGCTGTCATGGTGGTCACCATGACACCTAGATGTAGAGGCCAGCCAAATATGATAAATTCGTTCACACCCAATGCTAAACGTACTGACTGGCAGAGCGCTCGAATTACGCCATATGGCAATTCACTTTTTTCTAAAAAGATCTTTGAAATATACGAATTTATTTTAATCCAGACTTAGAAACTTGTATAAAAGGGTTATTAATGTATATGAACTGTTGAGCAGAATATTCCAAGGCTCCTGCTTGGCTCTATTATACAACGCAGGGCGCAAATTGGAAAGTCCCTTTCTTTCAACCGATCGTAATCGGAGTTTGTGCAGGGGAAGATGCAGGCGTCGCGTTGTTCGCCACGGTGTCTTCCTCAACAAGCCCGTCGCTGTCGCCACCACAGGGTTCGGAAATCGCGTCGTCGGGTACAATCGGAGGGGCCACATCTGTAACCTGGCATCCTTCCTCCTCATCAGTTGCGTCGATTTTCACGTCCGGAGCGGAGCACACGTCTGACAGGTTCAGCGGTGCCAGCTTATTCTGTTCAGGGAATATCCAGGGCTTCATTGTGGGAGTGTTCTTGGCTTTCCATTCGGGGTACGCGCGTGCTGCCTTTATCAGCATGGCGACTGTTTTGGGGGCGATTATTTGGGCCACGCGGTTGACAGCCCAGGAGGGAAACTTGCCTACACACACATTAAAAGTTAAGCTCTCCCACTGTCCATTTGAATAATGCACTTTTGGTTCCTGCCTGTGAGACGACTGCATGACTAACAATTGCTCAAGTAACAAAAACCACAGCTAATCTAAGTTTCAACAAAAATATTTATAGCATGACTCGTTTGGAAAGTCATATAGAAACGGTTACCCCGTGACCCGGCAGCGCAAGTCTGTAATATCAGTCAAAATAAGACTCGTGGCTTCATTGTTCGTTATTCTTATAAATTTATTAGTACTCGTGTACAACGCTCTACTAATATAATAATACGCACAGTCAGTATAAAACACCGTTTACCAATTATTTGGAAAAAAACTCTAGGGAAGGCAATGGGGGTAATTCGCGCCGCTCTGAATTCTGTTGCGCCAAAGTCATTTTTCACAAATTGACATCACTTTGAGGCCGACTTTAGCCCACTTTACGTCGCGCTTGATACCAACGCTGGCTCCGTTAATCGCTGGATCCACAACCATTGAAATCCGCTTGCTTATAGGGACCACTGTGAGGAACAGTTGAAAGCGATTTCTTAGCCCCACTTAGGGTAACGTTGACAGTTAGAAATGGCTAATGTGATGGAAAAATGCACCGAATCTGATGATATACAGTTAGACTGAAAAGTTAGGTACTTGGTGTCAATCAAAATAACGCAACACAGATGCGATACACGAGTTTTTTTTCGAAAAGATAAATGACGTCACATGGGGGGTGAGAAAGAAAATGCTTTCGGTTTTGTGCTTTGCAAAAGATACCAAAGGATAAATCCTCATTCACAAGACAAATTTGCAGCATGTCCAAAGCCTTTTCAGCTGAGTCCTTAAACAGCTATCTAGTTTTCGGCACCAAAATAGCATTGTAGCTAGCAAATGCTAGCCAAACTTGAGAACTTTGCCACGTCACAAAATAGGTGGAGAAACGGAGGCATGATGGGACGGAATTCTAAATATGCTAACATAACCGAAGGCAACCCATACGGCATTTGAGATTCCCTACACAACAAAACAAAACGTGAAAACGGTGTACTTTTGATGGTTTTCAATGCCGTAGTGAAATTTCAATGGATTGTTTGAGGTCGGAAACAGCAGTCCAAAATTTTATATTGTGGTTTTACGCACAGACAACCAAATTATCACTGTTTAGCGTTTCATTCTATGTTGTGCCTTTGTTGATATTTTGTTTCACCTCTCCACGGCTGATGTTCCCATCACAGAAAGCTTTAATACCAAAAGGACGTTCTTTTATTTATTTATTTTCCCTTTTTCGTTTACACCAACGGTTTTGTTTGCCTTAAGTCGCAAGTTGCAATCACTAAGAGATCAAGACAAAGGATTAATATAACTCCAATTGGGAGGCCAATCATGCGATTTTTTTGCAGATACATGCGTGAGAATAAACGTGGCCCTACTTGCGTCAGCAAGCCGTTGTGATGTGCTCATCTCGCCACACACAATACACCACACGTAAGTTGCATAGCCCTTGATGCTACATCCAAGGTAGCTTTCTTGCATCGCGTCATCTTGATTTTGAAAAGTGATGTTTTACTGCCATTCTCTGCATTTTCATGTGGTTATGCAAGTACATATTTCACCATAATGACTTGCTGTGATGTTAAGTAGGTCATGCAATTCTCCTTATCAAATATGGATGTCATTCTGAGAGTAACAGTGAGGGTTTTTTAGAGACACTGAAGAGGAATTTACCCCCACGTATTTACCAAACAATTTACCACTGTGGCTGAAGTTCATGCAAGAGGAACATAACCAGGATTTACAGGTGAACTGGCAATTTGTATTCATCTGAGGATGCCAATCAATGTGGTATCCGCTGAGTGAGACCTCCGATCATTTAAATAGGTGAAGATATTTTGAGTTTATTTGACATTCATCTAGGGAATCACAAGATATTTTTAGAAAGTGACTAGTAATAAAAGTTATGGTGGTTCGAAATCGTCTTTCATTAGTTCAGACCCGTCAAAAGTGACATCTCCATAAAAGGAATCCTATTGGAATTTTATGTGGTTTAATTGGTGAAATCCATAAAAATTGATTTCAGAAATGAAAGTTGGGTTGACTTGATGGGTTAATAAAAGCGGTTTTCAAATGAGAAAAAAATAAACGTGTTTTGACTCGTCTAAATGCTCAAAATTATGACAGTATCATGGCGATCAACCGATAAAAGGGAATGAAAATGAGTATTCAACAGGTACAAGCTCTTCGGTGTACCTCGTGTAAAATGCAACGTGATCTAACGACCCAAGAGCTCACTACTGCACGTGAATCCGACTATCACAATTCACATACGGAAATTCAGCCAAAATTATTAGTTTTAAGCATCGAAAGCGTTTGAAAAGGTGTGTATTGATTAAAGCAACATGCACGATTCTAGCACAACAGCGCTTGGAAATCTTGTTTTCCAGTGTGACGCTGTAAATATCAACATGTTGTTAAAAAGTCACTGCAACAGCGTCAATTAAAACACAACCGCGCCAAATAGCCAGGCACAGTCGCAGCTCTGTTTAGTGTTCTCAGCCGCCAACACTGCATTTCAGTGCCAATCATGTATATGACCTTTAGCACCCAAAACAGTATGAGTGAAGTGAGGCTCCCTCCCTAACTCAGTGCTTAAGTGCTTTTAGTAGCCAGTGGAGAAATAAACCTCCAAGCCTAAAGGTTTCATAATATACACTTGGCGGATTAAAAAATTATTGATTAAATTTGTTATATACACACAAATAAGTCAATGCAGGTATTCAATTGTTCTACCAAATTTAAATATTTCTTTTTTAGGCAATTGAACGCTGTTTTTGACCCAATTAGGAATGGTGTGTTGAACAGAACTTTTTCGATTAAATTAAAACTTTGGGTGTCCCCTTTCGAAGGCAAACAAAGTAGACCTCCTTAGTGTAGTAGCAGCTTGCAGTAACAGAGGCCTTTGAAAAGGAAATTTTAAAGTGGCACACTTTGAAACCACACACAAAGAGGTTTGATGTTGGTTTATGTACAGGGGTGGTTAGATGTCAATTTTTCGTTGCACACTTCAATAGACCATGTAATTTATGTATAAATATATCTTGTTGAGTAAAGACAACATCGGAATGCCGTAAATCTCATTTCCATTACCTCTGATACATTACAGTTGATACACGCTGTCATGTTATTGCTAACTTAATTTAAAGCATAGAAAAATTATGATTGATACGTACAATGAACAATGAGCACAAGTTCCATATCGCCATTTCTGCATAACTGCGATGACTGATGATATTTTAAAAAAAATGTAAGCCAGAAAACCGAGGTTATTCGCACCTTTATTGTCTTACAAATCATGTAAATCTTTCATAACACCGACTAACACAATTGGGACGAGCTTCGACAATGGCAACCTACCTACCTGTTCGACTTTATCTTGGTGGAATTGGTTTCATTTGCGGTTGAATATGGTCCCACAGTTTTACTTCTAGACCTCGATGTTTAGAGTTCATTATGCTGTCGTAAATTAACGTCACGAGGGCCAACCACTATAAAACCTCTGACACCACAGAAGCACGTGTTCTTGTAGTGCCTACATTTTGCCACGTAAAGTTAGCAGGACCAGAAATCATTATTTTCACACCCACATTAAAGCTCTGTAAATAGGCGTGCATTGATTTCGTAGAAGGTGTGCCATACGGTCACACATGAGACGCATGTAAAACTCTATTTTTCGCACCATAATTAAAAGCGTCTTTCCTAAAAATGCCAAAATGCACAATAAAAAAAAGTTAGCATGTGTTTTTTTAAATCAAAACCTTAGGTTTACCGGATATGGTGTAATGTTTCGATAATAAGGCTGAATCTGTTTAAGATTAAGATATACTCTCAAGTAATTGAATAAATACGATGGAAATACATTGTCAATTAACAATTTTGTCAAAAATTGCTCGGAATTTATCATAATCTGCTTTAAAATAGAATGTAATTGTAGATTTTGCAAAAGCTTATTTGATATTCGAATAATTCAACTAAACATTTGATAAATATTAGTTTGCTAAAGCAATTTGTCGGCAATGGACCACAGAATCTTTACGCTTAGGTCAACCGTGAAGCAGGTATTTCAGCTAGGTTAATGTGCATCTTTGTTCTGATAAAACGCTACCACACTGGAATATTTACAATTTGGGCCACAAGTGCTAAACAAATATATAGAGTAGGAACGATTAGGCGACTGCCAAAAAGATACGCTTGGATAGTATAACGAAACTACGTGCTACTAAGTACTATGAAGAAGAACGCTTATAATGTATGTAGATTTTAATTATTGATATTAAAACACCATGTCAACAAACAAAAATTTTAACGTTTTGCCCACGTTATTCATAAAAAAACAAGTCTTAAATAGATATCTCTTGCTTTATGGTTTACTAAGTATCTCTACCAAAGTCTGCAATTTGCACAATTTGTGGGATCGCAAGCTCAAAGATTTAAACATGAAGTTGATTTAGGGGGCACATGAACAATTTTCTCTAGTCTTGGCGAAGAAGACCCCTGCAGCATCGTTGCACAATCTGTATGCCTCATGGAAAAGTTTTAAAAATATAGTAATTTTAAGCCAAAATCTGTGGTTCAAATTCGTTTGTTTTAATTTAACATAGAGTTGGACTAAAACAGACCAGGCACGTGGTTTGGCAAATAGATATATGTTAAATCAGCACTGTAATAAAATTAGAATGCATACCTCGTGGATCCGACTGGGTTACAAAACCAAAGAAACAGGAATCGGGCCCGGTCTTTCGAACGATGTATCCACTTAAATATGAGATTGCGCGAATATACTGTTTCCTAAGAGGTGCAGCCTAATTATATAAAAAAATTAGTTTAAAAATAAACTCAGATAAATACCTAACCTTAAATTATATTTACTTTTAAGTGAAACAATCGCACTGATTCTCATATACTCAGTTACTTCGAAACAATTTTACGCCGAAATTAACAAAATACGAAATGCTTATAAAACTCCACGTAACATTCAGTGTAATTATCAACAGGTAGAATTAATTTAACAACCCCTTTTGAAGTAAATCTAGCACATTCTACAAATAAATGCAAATTTATGCATTTGGAGTCATCCAATTAAATAATTGACGAAGTGTCAAATAATTTTTGATTTATAAAGACAGTAGATACTTATTTAACTGCCTCTGGATACATATTAAGAAATTAATATAAACTACAGACACGATGCCACAAGTATTAACCGAAAGTCTGCATTAATATATAGACGTAAACAATATATGCTTACCGCGTGGAACACGGAGTGATTCATTATAATATACTCATTTTCAAATTTAAACCATGATCGAAGAGTCACAGAATCCCGGTACTTGAATGGAGGAAAAGACTTAACTATAGGCATAAATTGAAAGTGTGTATAATCTACCAAGATAATATCCAATGTCTGTATTTGGACTAACAAGGCACAGGTCGTAACCCTCCACCATGTATTTGTCCCACGCCCTTCTGTAATCTGGATCCATTAGTGTATCAAACAGATCGGCTGCAGACAGTCCTGCCACATTCGTTTTAACCTACCAAGTATAAAATGGTAAATGCATACTTTGACCATATGAATTGAAGAATTTTCCGACTCTTTTATATATACGGTGGTATCTTTCTTTCCAAATACTTTATGCCATTTGGAGTCATCATCCATCAAATTGCGAAATGTTGCAACATCATGTTCACCAGCAGGACGAACGTCCCCAACACTGAACGATGCCATACCAAAATGTTTATAAGTGAACGACCTAAAATAAATCACTCGTTAACTATTATAAACAACTTAGAATGTACTCCAGGCCAAGAAAGTTAATACTGGTAGTGCTTTATTGCCTGAAGGCATGAAACATTTAGGGATGAAAATGTTGTCTGAAATTTAATTATTTTAGGACCCCTTGTCAAGCTATCTGACAACGATGAATTAAGGCTAAAATTTTTTATTACAGTAAATTACCAGGTTCTTTTAAAAAGGAATTCAGATAATGGCTTATGTTCCATGGGTTTTAGTTTATCTCGTCTTAGCAATGTGCATTAAATTTTGAATTATTTCCCAGGAATCCCATTTATAGTTGTGGGATATTTAAAACTTAGACGCCACTGGTGCGTTTCCGACAGCATACATGCTTCAAGTCACCATAATATTTGAATTTTTGAACCAGATTAGCGTTATTTATACGAGCATACGTGAAGAAACTGATGAAGTCTGACTAAATCATTTTGATTGTAATGTTGACTTGCTTGACAATAATTGCGTGGCATATATAATCAGGCAAGGATTTCTGATTTAGGTGCAAGGTTAAACTTTTCTTACTTTATTGTTAATTGTTGTAGGATCATCAGTATGCGTATCGAAAATTGTTGAACCATTTCAATTAAAAAACAGAAATAACAAGAAGTGTCGCTGATTTCATTGCCCTAAATTGCTGTAAGCATTGACATGTTTGGTGATATGATAAATATATGTAGGTTACTGAGAAGAAAGCAATTACTAGGGTGTCTGATTGTGTACTAACAGAACTTTACGAATCGATTTGGTAAGTAAGCCATTATCAGTGTAGCAATGAGCTAGGTGCTGGAATTTGTCTTTAAAATTAGTGCAAGATATATTACAAATGGGTCTGTTGCTCAGGGCTATATGCGAAGCGTAAAAATTGATTTACGTGGAGAAATTCTGTTGGTATTAACTTAGAGTTGTTTGCAGCTAGAACCTAACTATTTTTATTTAACCATAGATTTAAAGAACTATCAAGAAAGCAGGATCGAGCCCTAGGGATCAAACACAAATATTTAATACATTTTTGTTATCGAAAATTTAAGATCATATGTACCTTACTGGTAATTTGAGGATGCTTCAGAATAAGGTTTCTTGCTTGACCCTGCTTCATCTGCCACATATTTGTTTGCCAAATTCATTGAAAATCATGGTCCACATGAAACTGTTTTGAATTTGTTAACTCGACTGTCAGTGCTTCGCGTTCGAAGTCGGCTGCTGGCTCAAAGTCTAATTTCTTTTTTACGAGTTATTTAATATTTTTTTGTTTAGAATATCATATCTATGTTAAAATAATAATCAAATGATCCTCTTTCGATTGTGATCAAACCGTCGTCGACGCATTATTTACGGCTATGGTTAATTGACTACAGATTTAAGGTGTAATTAAAACCAACACATCATTCAGAACATGCTCAGGAAAACCGTGAATTTTTTTGGATTATTCTAAATTTTAACAAAGACTACGAATTATGTTAATAACTCTAAATACCGTGCTTGAGCGCAATCTGTTTTGTCGCAACCTGCCAAGAGGCGTTTCAATCAAATAAATGAAAATTTCCAGAAATTTTACGAAAGGTTGGACTTGTGGTTTGTAAATAAAGCATGTTTCGTCATACCTGTATATTTCATAACTTGCCCTAATAATAAACAAATGCATTACATCAGCAATGGCTCAACAAGTCTTCGCAAATCCCTGAAAGAATATTGATTTGGCCGAGCATTGTCCAAATGCTTGTGTTACGCCACTGCATCAGGGTGTCGAATCCATTAAATGAAAATTACTGCTTTAGCTAATCATGGTATATCGATCAGTCCCAAGGCGTCAGTAGTCTCTCATTCAAAACTTCAACTAATTTTTTCGCTGCTAAATATTTGCTGCTTCACATCTGTTATGGTAAAGTTAGAGAAAAAACCTACGTTGGCCACCCAAATACCCAGAGAACAGTCTAAATGAATATGACGACGCCCCACATGGCACTTTTGCAGAATATACAAGCATTGGTATGAAGAAGACTGATACAAAATAACAGGATTTATTGACCAATCACAAGCCAAAGTCACACTTCAGGCGCTGTTCATCCGAGTCCATCACGCTGACTGCGCCGCTCACTA